CACCATACATGGAACTAGTAATATTGGCCACCAACCATCTTATCCATGAATATAATGTGTATTTCAGCCCTTTCACAGAAAACATGGCTCCTTGAGTTTATCTCAGAAATAAGTTGCAGAGCTTTCTTTCTATAAATGTGCTGGTCTTTTTAAAAAAATTCTTTTAATGTTTATTTATGTTGAGAGAGAGAGTGTGTGGGAAAGCACGAGTGTATTTATGTTGAGAGAGAGAGTATGTGGGAAAGCACGAGTGGGGAAGAGGAAGAGAGAGAGGAGAGAGAAAATCCCAGGCAGGCTCCACACTGTCAGCAGTGTCTGATGTGGGCCTCGAACTCACAAAACTGAGATCATGACCTGAGCTGAGATCAAGATTCGGTCACTTAATCGACTGAGCCACCCAGGCTCTGCAGTGTGCGGGTCTTTTCTCTCAGTGTTTTGTCTCATTGTTCCTGTTTTTAGGCCTCTGAAATTTATCAGTAGAAAGGTAACTCTCAATGGATGGATTAAGAGTGATTTTGTCTCCCCTAAGGGACTTTCGATGATATCTGGAGACACTTTTGGTTGTCAGTACTGGGGAAAGGATGTGCATTTTGCATCTAGTACATGGGGCCAGGGATGCTACTTAATATCCTAGGGTGCACAGGACAGACCCACAATGACAAAGATTGAGCAGCTCACAATGTCAACAATACTAAGACTGAGACCCCTGATACAGAGGACTAGCCTCCAGCTGTCCCTTCCAGTAAAGCTACACCTGGCCAAGGATGACACTTCATGTGCCAAGCACTCTCTGAGCAACAGCAGTGCTTATCTCTTCTCTCAGAGCCTCATCCCCTGGAGAGTGGGAAGAGATAGGCCGTTTAGGGATCATGTATTCTCACCCTCAGAGTCTAACATAGAAGAGAGTAAACGGTGTTCCTCCACAAATGCTCCTCATCAATGCAGTATCTTCCTGGTGGTCATATCTGGCTGGTTATTATGTAAGGACGGAGACTTTTGAAAGGAGAGATCATCTCATAAGCTGCACCTGAAGGCTAACAGATTATGCAGAATGAGGAAGGGTATCCATATTGACTTATCCTTGAAAAAAGTATGGGGCGGGGGGCAGGGTGGTAATATTACTGTATCTGTGAATCATAACCCTTACTGTATATCAGTGTTATCAAACCATTTTACCCTCCACCACAGCTCCTCTGAGGCCTCAACCAGACCTTGGTCTCTGCTCTGGATTTAACCTGCTTTTGTGGAGGGAAGGGTAGAAAGACAGAGATTAGTAGAGAAATACACTTAACATGTGGGATTAAAGAGGCAAATTTAGGATACTGGCTTCCCCTGCCAGGACAGGTGTTATCTGTGACCATGTACAGATATGATGTCCACTGACTACGGACCAAAGCTTGCCACATTCACTGGGCTTTGTGATCACAGGAATTTACACCACCATCTTGAAGCACTCATTTTAAATAAGCTTTCAATGAGAAGTATTTTGGAAAGCATGAGAGTAGGAAAATGCTACAGTTTCTAGGTAAATACCGTTCAGCACCTAATCCAGTCCCTATGTACAGTTTGCCTGTAGATGCATTAACGAGACTTTTCCAGCTTGATTTGGGCAAAGCTTTTGCTGTTTCGGTGGACTGCGGATTCGTAGAGAGCCTCTCGTCTGCCTTTTCCCTCCGACTGGTCCCTCCCTCCAGCCCTGGATGCACCTTACATTTTGATCCATTCATTTGGAGGCTTCATTTGAAGCCTTTCTCGGATATCCTTAGGGCAGCTTTTGGCTCCTCAGAGTTGATTTTTGCCCCTTAAGAGGCCTCTCCAAGTGATCAGGCAGTGTGCAGACTTTCTTTTTGCCTTTGGAATAGTGGTGGTTTTTATCTACAAGATTGTTCCCCCACTTGAAGCAATCTGCCTGGCAGCAAACAGATGTCTGTATCCAGATCTCCCTTCTAGATGAATAAGATCCTTCCAGAGGCTAATGCTGGCTGGTAAAAAGTGCTTTTGTGCATCTATGAAGTATAACTGAGCCCTAAGCAACAACCTTTGATGTGTATTTTGTGAATGGGGAAGAGGGAAAAAAAAAAAAGCAAAAACATTTTTTTCTACCAAACTGTTTCTTGCAGATGAAAATTTTTGTTGACAGAAGGCCTCAGCCAGTGTGAGGTTTGCCCTCACTGAGGAAACAAAGGTTGGATGGACGCTGTTTTTCCTTACATTGTTCTGCAATTTCATTCTCTGTGCTGTTTGGGCATAATACTTTGTCAGCAAAGTGGGTCTGATAACTGTCTTCCAAAACTCCATCTTGTTTGGCTTGGTGAGAAACAATTTTCAGCGAAGCATAAAATACTTTGTTCAAAGAGTCAACCTTCAAAAGGTGGAAGTCTAAGTCCATGGGCAGGCTAAAAATGAAATGAGTGTACTTATTTTTGGAGGACATTAGTTTTGCCTCAGTACCTCGGATCCCCATCTTTCATAAGATCTAAGATCAATGTGCCTTAAGGTAGCAACATTTGTCATAATTGCCTGATACATTAGCATCTTTCAATACCAAATATTAACTTTGACTATGAGATCACTAAACCATGTAATGATTTTGAACAGGGAATAATAACTTGACTTTTGAGGACCAGTGAAGCTAATAGCAAACTTTTAAGACAAAGACATACTCTTAGGATTTAAGCTAGGAACCGAATGAAATGTTTATGGAGCCCTATGCATTGAAATATGAGGACTTGATTTCATTATTCAATTATAAATACTAATTTAGGCATATAGAAGCAAATCACATGACACGGTAAGTGAGCGGTTTGTTTTTAACCATTCAGCCTCAACGCAGGCGTAAATCCAGTGTACCTTTCTATTCTCCATATCAAGAAGGGAAGAGCCTAAGGAATGTCACTTTCAGTAAAAGCAAAAAAATAAAAATTTTATCCCCATCGAGAAGATTTCTACCTCAAGTCTTTGCAGAGCAATGAGAATGAGAAGATTTTTTTTTCCTTTTTTTTAAGCTCTTTGAAAATCCAGACCACACTATTGATTACTAACTATTCATTGCTGAAGGCACTACTCTGTATTCAATAAATTAAGCTTTAATTCCTGAGTCCAACAAAATAATTGACCTCAAAAAGAAGATAAATGAATAGGCTGTCCTGAGCTCATGATTAGAATCCACTTTCCAGTCTCATTATATTCGTATTTTTCAATTCAGTGATTTTTCCATTCTTTTCTAGTTTCGTTCACAAGCTATAACACCTTCCACCCTGCTGCTATATCAACAAGGCCAAGCTCTTTCCATTCTTGGTTTTGAGAAGGAAAGATTTTATTATGATAGTTTTATAATTTAGTATTAACATTGAGAATACAATATAGTTTCCATTTTAGGACAAACTGGGTAACTAGTATTTCTGAAAACTTCTGAACTGTTCTTGATTTCGTAAAATCCAAAATAACATAGACACAGCATGCATAAACATTTTGATTAAGGTAAGAAACATTTGGTGGCTTGTGTAAGATCACACAGGATTTGTAAACCATGACTTAGGAAATCCCTCATTTATTGCTGCTCCTGTCACCACAGAATTTCCGTATTTAAGAAAGTATATCGTTTCATAGTAAGAAGGTAAACATGTGACTAGAGTCCTTTTTAAGGTTTGTTGCTTTGGTTTTATTTGAAACCAAGTAAAAAATATCATTATCATTGCAGGCACTATTTAAAGATTAAGCAGTAGTTCAATGTTAACATTATTCAGAATTTAATACCAAGGTCTTCTAATAAAGCAGGAATAAGGTGTAATTTCCAAGGACACTGGAGAGAGATGTGTGACATTTTTCCTTCTGTGTCTCAGGAGAAAAACACGCCAGAGTTCCAGAAAAAAGGAAGCTAATTTGTATGTTCTTGTTTGCCTTCCTTCTTGGATTCCTTGAGGCATCCTGGACTTGACTTGCACTTGCATTAGCTAAGAAGGGGGCATACTATCAGAGAATAACGAGAACTCTGAGAGGTAAAACAGAATCCCTCAGATCTTGGGAACTTGGATTCATAAACTCAGAGCCATTATCTCTTCTTAGCCTTTTTTCCCACCCTAATTCACATTCTGCGAGTGGGATAACCCTTGAGTTTACTCTACCCAGGCTCACTTGTGCAAACAGATAAGGGCCCCCCATACATGAAGTGTGTCTTGAGGAAGCCTAACATGAGGCCTAAAGAGACTAACAGTACCCGGGCATGTTAATTTCTTATTTTTTGCAGCCTATTCATGTTCTGCTGCAGGATAGCAGAGTACATTTCTTGGTGTACTTTTTTTCATTTAGGACTTTTTAGGCAGAAAGCCCAACAGCCCATATTTTATTCAAGTTCTATAAAATGATATATTTATATCATTTTATATTTATATTTATAATGGTACTGCAAAGTACTTCATAACTTTTTGACTCATTATGGCAAACTAAATTATGTTCATTATAGCTTTGGTATTAAGTGAATTTAATTGCATTATGAATCTCTGAACACTGATAATTGATTGCTATATATAGCAACTACAGAGACTCCAAAATATTACATTAATGTAAATATCCCATTTATGAAGTATTCCAAATAACAGCAATTTAATTGAATTTAGTGTTAGAACAGATTTATAAATAGGCTGGAGCAAAAGTTTTTATCAGTATGCTTTTGTTATTATGTTAATGAAGTACTTTGCAACATACTTTGATTTGAGTTTATATCAAATTAGGATTTTCTAAAACTTAACAATAAATGAAAAATGAAGCCAGCTACTTTGGAGGAGTAATAAATGGTATCTCCTAATGTTAATCGATGTTCTTTCAAATAGAAATCATGTGGTCTTCTGTTTCCTTTGACTGGTAGAAGATCAGATGTAGGGCAGATGTTACTTAAAATACTATCATCAATTCATTGATGCCTTAATCACAGATTAAATTTTTGTATGCTTTGAGCATTCTGGATCTTACTAATCATGACTGTTTTCTTGGTTTATTTGCAGAATTTTTCCGAGAGCTCCTGGAGAATGCAGAAAAGTCACTAAATGATATGTTCGTACGGACGTACGGAATGCTGTACATGCAGAATTCGGAAGTGTTCCAGGATCTTTTCACGGAGCTGAAAAGATACTACACCGGGGGCAATGTAAACCTGGAGGAGATGCTCAATGACTTCTGGGCTCGGCTCCTGGAACGGATGTTTCAGCTGATAAACCCACAGTATCACTTCAGCGAGGACTACCTGGAATGTGTGAGCAAATACACAGACCAGTTGAAGCCGTTTGGAGATGTACCCCGGAAATTGAAAATTCAGGTCACCCGTGCCTTCATTGCTGCCCGGACATTTGTCCAGGGCCTAACTGTGGGCAGAGAAGTTGCAAACCGAGTGTCCAAGGTAATTGAAAATCTGCTGTCTTTCTAATTGGTCTTTCTCTTCTGCTCTGTTTTTCAAACCACTGTTCTAAAAAAAAATTTTTTCAAGGTGAAGTTTCTCTTACAGTGGTCCTTACTCTTAGAGTAATCAGATAAATGTAAAGGTTTAATTCTGTTTTATTCATTCATTCATTCATTCATTCATTCATTATTTATTTATTTATTTATTTATTTATTTTGCTTTGTATAAGAGGAGATAAGATTTCAATCCATTCCATGTTTGGAACATAGTGTTAATATTAATCTGTGATATAGCAGAGGAGCTTTTATCGGGAATGGTGCAGAAACAGGTGTCTGGTAACCAAGACCACTTGGCACTCCTGAAGAGAGTTTTAAGAATGATAAATAGTCATGAAACAGTCCATCCGGAGGTTATAATCCTCTAGGAAGTCACAAGGTGATAGTCTTCATGAGGTTTGCAAGTAGAGACAAGCTGCTGTTCAGACACTGGCTTCTGGCATTTCTTCTTCTTTATCACTTGTAAAAGTGGCCAAATTCCTCAGTAGTGGAGGAAGAACCCTTCACTAACACCTGTAGAACTGGATTAGGGAAGAAAAATGAATACAAAGTATAGGCCCTGGCAGGGAATTCCTTTTGTTATCCATTAGCTTTGTAATTCAATGCTGCATATCGCATGGGGCTTATGAGCAAGATAAATCACGAATACACATGGCGCCCTTCCTTGAGAATGTCTCTAAACCTTTAATGCCAGGGGTCTTTCTCCACTGCTTTCTTTAAACATTGACTATTTCCTGTGCCTTTGTTTAAATTCTTCCTCGACATTCAACCGTCCCTAGGAGATGGGCTTGCCCATTTATGAGGTCAGTCCAACAAATAAACTGAAAGATGATTACTCTAAGACGTAAAGTAAAAACAGCACATAATGGGAATCTGGTATTATGTCACTCAAAAAGGTCATATTTGTACAAAGATTAATGCCAAACACTACTTTCTTAGTGCAGGGCTGTGTCATAGAGCCCCATATTTCTCATAACTATTGGTACTAAACTGCCATGTTTCTTTTTTCTCCACCTTGATGTCCTCAGTATTTACATCTTGGTGTAAAGACTGTGTATACCTGTAAAAAATGTTTCTCCATGGCACTATTTATAAATTTAATAGCAATCCATTTTTAAATGACCTATTCCTATTGAGAGTATTTGAGCATATGGAAAGAGTATTTTCAAGAAGCCTCGAAAAAGATTAATTACATAAGGCTTAATAATGTAAAAGGTATATAACTCTGATGTTTAAAATGATGTGTTTTTTTTAATTGAAAATCAACAATATTTTGGAACAATAGCAAAGGAACTGAGCCCCAAAAATGGATTAATAAGAAACTAGCCAGGTGGAATAGCAAGAAGAAATATGATCACCTGAGAAAGTCTGTAAAATATATACAAGTACAAAAAATAATTATGTATCCCATATATTCTTAAGCAGTTAATTTTTTTAAAAAAAAGATACTTTTAGTCACAAAGGCTTCAAATCGAAGCCTTTGCTTTTGCTGGAGATTGAAATACACAGCCAGCTTTTAAGAAACGCAAGGTAAGAAATTCAAAGCTTGGATTGATCTATGCAATGTTCTTGATTGTTTACTTGCTTCTGGCTGAGTGTGAATAACGTTTAGATGCATATATTTTGGCCTGGGGATGTCCTGGTACGATGAGGGAATGTTTTCTAGCAAAGTATCTAAAAGGTATCGGGGAGACTGCTGCTGATTCTTTCCAAGTTCTCAGAAGATAACATTAACATCTGCCCGGAGATGGCATCTCTCTTTTATCATTCCCTGACTATCTCAGTCTGAGGTCTTTGTAGGTCAAAATCTAATCTACTACTCTTCATGACATGGAGGCTGACATCATGGAACAACCAGCAATGGAATATGACTTTTAATTTTTTTCTGGACATGATGAGGGATATACTCTTTAACACTGCAATCTTGCGTCTCCTGATCTTTTCATGATCAGCATTCATTTGCTGAGCAACTGCTGTGGATTTGTGATGTAGTTTGTGATCATGTAACCATGGAATGTAGATTGTTCTGTGCAGATACTCGCTTGTCTGGCCTGAATTTCATTAGCCCTAATCTACTCAAATCATAAATCCCATGTTGACATATGGGTACTACCTTGTAGAAAGAGAGAGAGAGAGAAAGAGAGAGAGAGAGAGAGAGAGAGAGAGAGATGGTTTAAAAGAAGCTGAACCTTTTTTTTTTTTCTAAAATAATTTATGACTCAGGGATTTAAGTATATTACCAAAGACCTTTCTCACCTAATGGTTACCAGATGGTCTGTACCTAACAAAACCAAAAATATATCTACCAGGACTATTGGCATGCTGATAATTTTCAGCACCCAAACTATTTTTTGTAATAAGAATAAAATATTACAAGGGTTAAATATTTTAAGAGGCAAAGCAAGAATGGTGTTGGAGGTTTAAGTCCTTCATAAATCTGGGGCGTCCCTGTGGCCCGTTACTTGAGGGATTTAGAGTTGGTGAAATGATTGCAAAAGAGGTAAGGAATTCAACACGATATTCGCAAATGGAGATCAACAAACTAGGTTACCTCCTGCATCTTGGTTTGTAGAATACTTTTTTTCCTTCTGTTTCTCACTTCTCTTTCAGTTGCTTCTCAAATCTTGGAAGATGTCATTAATAGCTTCTAATTAATTGTTTTGACTGTAAAATTTATCTCTTTGGCAAAACACAGCCATTTGACACTAATGTTTTGACATGATATTATAGGGAATTTTCGCACCAGAAAAATGGAGGAATAATTTGGAGGCATCAACACAATTATTGTTTAAACCTAGCTTTGCCATATTACAGACAAAAGCCTTGTCTTTTTCTCAGCACTGAAAGGAGCAAGTTAATTTTAAGTAACTAACTGGAAATCTGGTTCTAAGAAGTGTTCAATGATCCTAGAGTGAATATCTGTGGTCAGTTAGCCAGGGTTCAGTTCCTGTGTGAGTGACTAATTTTGAGAGTGCTGAGTGTTGACAAAATACAGAGATTTGGTAGCTTTCATACTTTACTGGTGGAAGTATAAATGGATGTGTTCACTTTGGATGACAATTTGAAAATACCTGTATCGTTGAAAAACGGCATATCCTAACATGGCAGTTCTACCCCAGAAGTGGAACTGGTATATATATATGCATGTGTGTGCAGGCAGATATGACGAAGAATGTTCGCAGCAACATTGGTTACAATAACATGAAAATTTGAAAACTCACAAATGTCCATTGACATACATGGTGATCTCGTCACACCATGAAATCCCATGGAGCATTGAAAATAAGTGAACTATAACCACACTCATGGATGAATTGCAGAAACCTCATTTTGAGAGAAAAACATTACCAAAGAATACATACAATTAATATAAAGTTCAAATAATGTAAAACAAAGGAATACATTATTGCAGAATAAAGATATATGTGACAAAACTCCGGAGAAGATATTTAAAAATTAGAAACACAAACATTAGATGGTCATTTCCTTTGGGGTTAGGTTTGGAGCTATTATAAAGGTGGGTTATACAGGGATTTCTAAAGTTATTGGATAACATACTGTTTCTTAAGCTCTAGACAACATGTGCAGTTGGGGGTAGATTTCAGACCATTTTAATGAAAGAGATTCAAATGGGGAAAGAGTTTGCCATTGTTCATCTCTGATTCTCTTCATCTGTGCAGATATGATCAAATCCCTGAGCTGCCCCCAGTAGTTTATCAGACTTACTGCTGTTTGTAGATTTGTTAACCATTCACTTTCCATGCTCCATCTTGTGCAATGATATCAGGTAGGCTTAGAAGGCAAAGCTCTAAACTGAAGTTAAAAGCAAATTTTGATAATGCAGTAGCCTGGAAAGAAAGAATCTAGACTATTTCTTAGCATTGTTCCTTTATTAAAACACCACTCCCATTAGGGAGTGGAAACACAGATGCCAGCTTGTGACACACTGTGAAACACACAGAGGGCTCCATTAAAGAAGTGTTAATGGGTTGTCTGCTTAGACCCATCTTCACCTATTTGGCAAATGTGGAAATGACTCTCCTGTCTTCACTGGTCTAACCTGATGGCTGTCTTTCTGCTTTAATCAAAGTGACTTCTATGAGTAAAAGCTGTAAATTATGTCATTACAACTGCATCAGTTATGGAAGTCATTCCAGTGATTCATTCCAGACAGTTGGGTAGATATTAGAACTGAGATCCAGAGAACTTGCACCTTTGCCAAATACTGTTGTGTATCTCTTGTCTGTCTGTCTGTCTGTCCATCCATCCATCCATCCATTCACCTACCTAAAATTCTTCTTTCTTGTGGGTCATGACTTTGAAAAGAAAGTTTGGCTTTTAGTCTCTAGTAAGACCAGAATATTTTTATCAGTAGACACCTGCCTATGTCTGCTACTGTTGTTTTTGCATGAAGAGCCTCTTAGATGGTTCATCCACCTGAGTAAATAGCTTTGCATTCGCAATGCAATGCCTAGAAAGCAATAAACAGAGCCAATTTTCAATAAATGTGGTTGGTGGACTATGAAAAAATTTATCATCAAATTTGATGAAATGAAGGCTATGAAATACATCCATTGAGAGCGTTCTCTGATCACAATGGAAAACCATTCTAAAGAATTTTACCATGGATATAATTTACAAGAGAAGTGGTATTCTATTTAGCAGTTTGCTTTGGGGAAAGAATTTAAGATATAAAGTAAGACCACCTGTTGTAGCTATCACCCGACTCACTTGTATCATTCCTTTTATGGTGATCTTTTAATTGGAGTTAATTTTTAGGGAGTCATCCATAATGAAAAGGACCACAAAAAGGTCTTAGGTGAATGAAAACTTTTTATACCTCTTCTTTGATTAGTGTTTTCTCTTCTGTAATTGATGATTATTCAGTGTAAGTCATTTCAATAATATGTTGTTAGGAAGAATAGATAAGCCTTTTGAAATGATCAATAATGCTTCTATGTTTACAACTTTTAAGTCAGCATAAATAACACATGCTTGCTGTTTATGATGGTGGTGTGGGCATTATATTTAGAAAGTACTTTGCAGTCATTAAATAAATAATATCATGATAAAAATAGTAACAAAATGATATTAGTACTAGGAGTCATAACAATGAAAATAGCTTATTAATGTAATTCATTGAAAATGTATGAATTTTACCATGGTCGATGTGCTGTGATAAGCTCTGAAAGTCACAATAATATAAGGAAATCCCACTGTCAGAAGAAGAAAAAAAAATTTCCCTCAAGTATAGCATGTGGGATTCTACAGATGTGTTTAGAGAATTAACAGAAACTGTCTGTTTGATTTGATTAAACACTTTGGTGATTTTGATTAAGACAATTAAAATATCTTACTGATTTTAAGTTCTCTTGAAAAATACGTAGCTTAGTTGTATGATTTTGAAAAATAGTTGAGATAAGAAAAGGGTAGAAATTGAGGAAAATGAAGCCACTTATATCCAATGCATTAAAAGCTATTTGTCTATTCTTTCTCTCTGTTCCTTTTGTAGCTTATGTCTGTTTCTAATATGTATGCCTGAGTTAGGCTACTTTATTTTAAAATTATACTATCTAATTCCATTAAAATGAGTCCCTTTCTTGCCATTGAATTTGGTTGTGAAGTTTTATTCATTTTGAAAGAAGTTAACGAGTTTCTTAACTCTGTCTAAATATAACATAAGTAGGAAAAATTTGGGAACCACAGTTCTTTCTATACTGTATCTAATAGGTATACTCTCTCTCTCCACTGTAGTTCAAGGTGGGTAGTTATAATAAGCCGACATTCTTCTCATCCCAGTGTGGACTCTTGTAAAAATGAAGCTATTTTATACTTGTTCATTGTGTATTTTATGTCAAGTACTATTGGTAAGTTTGTGAGATACCAAGACCCCGCAAGTTAATGTATTTGCAAGTACTAATTGGAAAGACACACACACACACACACACACACACATACACACATACACACACACAATGTATACTGAGAGAATTATGCAGTAAATGTTCTGGGAACAGAAGGGAGAGGCATCTAGCTTAATCTTATTTGCCAAGAAACTTTCAGGGGCATAAAAGTCTGAACCACAAGTTGAAGGATGCATGGGCATTGGGCAGATGGTGAGGACATCTAGCATGGTGAAGGATGCTTTAAGCAGAAGCAACAGTGAGCAGAAGCACAGAGGTATAAAACCAAATGATGTGTGCAGGTAGCTGCAAGCACCTGGTGTTCCTGAGGCATAAGGTACAAGGCAATGAATAGCAAGAGATTAATAAGCTGGAGGCCCAAACTGAACACTTGAATAAAAATTATTTCACTAACAATTTGGTGCATGTCTGTTTTGACTGAATAATTAACAACAACAACAAAAAAAACAACTTTCTGTGGTCTAGAAGCATTCTGGTTTTTTGATGGACAAATGAATGCTGAGCACTTACTGTGTGTCAGGCATTGTTCCGTAAGAAACAGGAAATAATAATGAATAGCATTATCCTTGAGGAAATCTAAGACTATCCAAAAGTTCAACTGTGGTGCAAATGATCAGGATAAAGGCAGAGATCTATATAGAACACTATGTGAATCAAGGGAAATACACATTCCCCTTTGTCTTGGGAAATTGGGAAAGGCACTGTAGATTAGGTAATAGACTTTAAGAATGAATAGGTATTACAGAGAGAGAAATGCTGTAAGGCTTTCTTGTCCATGGCCCAGCAGGTTCAAAGGCACAAATCATGAAAAGTCATAGTAGTTTGGAGGTGAAACCAGGAGGTAGATTTGAACCATATTATTTGGGTCATAGTTTATCTTAAGGAAGGTGAAGGACTTGGGATAGGCAAGGGAGAACAGTAATTTTTTAAAGAGACAATTATGTGATCTGATAAATCACACCTTTAAAAAGGTGGTCCATGGGGATGATAATCTGGATTGGGAGACTGACAGCAGCTGCGGTGATGGGAAACTGTTGCAATTGCCTAGATAAACAGTGATGAGACCTGGGTCAGCAGGTGGAGCAGAGTGGAGAATGCACCAGGAGAGACAAACACACCAGCACAGTATATGGATGGTGTGTCTTCTCAGGTTGCCTCCCGGCATCAAGCACAGTTCCGGTCACAAAATTTGTTCCCATTTAGTAACAGCTGTCTGCCTGCTGACTGGTTTGAGTATCAACACCATATCATTGATTGTTAGCAAAGTATGGTAACATTTGGCTAGAGAAAGAAGGGAATAGGGTCAGATGAAATATCATAGTGTATAAAGATTTAAAGAGGATACAGAGAGGGGCGCCTGGGTGGCTCAGTCGGTTGAGCGTCTGATTTCGGCTGAGGTCATGATCTCACGATTCGTGGGTTCAAACCCCACATCGGGCTCTGTGCTGACAGCTCAGAGCCTGGAGCCTGTCTTCAGATTCTGTCTCTCCCTCTCTCTCTCCATGCCTCCCCTGATTGCACTGTCTCTCTCGGAAAATAAATTAAAAACATTAAAAATAATAATAAATAAATAAAGAGGATACAGAGAAAGAAGACAAATGATGAGAGCCAGAAAAGCTTATTGTCCTGAAAGTAAAGAGAACAGAACTTAAGAAACAAGTAGCAAGCAACAGTGTGACTACCCTGGTTTTAATTGGTTGAGACGTTAACTCTTCTGCCACTACGCGTTCTAGAACAAGCATGGTCCATGGACTGGTGCTCATGAGCAGGCTGTTATGGTTTTGCAACAAGGTAAGTACACCTGAAAGCACTTTAAAAATCTTAATAGCAGTTTCACATTGACCCAGCATCCAAGACAGCATCAGTAGACTTTTCCTTGAATATTATTGAACATTTCTGGTGAGTTCCTTGGTATGAGCTACATCTTAGTTATACTCCGTCAGGTTAGGTATCAAGGCATAACATACTGGGAATAATCACATAACCAACCAAATCCTGTCTAGGTCATTTGAGCCTCAGAAAGTTAGTCTGAGATGTTTTGTTCTAGAACAATGCTAAGAATACAAAACAACCTATTTGGCTTGATTTTGTTGGTGTGTCTGGACTTTCTCCCCCCCATATGCAGTTTCTCTTTACCTCTTTTTGTGGCCTTCTAGCCTAGCCCTTTCCCCTGGCGTGCATTCTGTGTGTTCGCCACCATCATGGGCTCCTGTAAACCTGTTTTGATTGGCACATCCTACTGTCTGCCTTTGCCCCACAAGTCCTAGAACTCTAGGGCCATGGAAAACGTGTGCTACAACCAGATGTCTTTGTTACTAATAGGGAACATCCAGTGGTGAAATGTGCCAATTAAGGTACAGCACAAATAAAAAAGGCCCAAGGATAAAACTCTGCAAAGTGCTGCAACTCAAAGAATGCTTCTTCTAAAATGGCTTCATAAAGACAAACGGACCTGACACTTTATTCCGGTGTCAGCGCCGACTCTTTTCTTGGATATGTATCTGTGAATGTATTTATTCTTCTCCTGTGGGAAGGTTCTGTGCAACAAGATTTGAACAATAGTCATATTGTAATTACTTACACATGCAAAAACATACCCAGAGTGTTGGCTGGACGCTGCGGGCTGTGTGATAGGGTACGCTGAACCTAAAAATTTGGAGGAGTTTTCTTTTCTTGTCCCACCTTCATGGAGCAAGTGTAACAAGGACATTCCCTGAGGCAATATCAGTGCATTGTGGAGGTTTATGAGCCAAGATGCACATGGAAAAGAATTTGAATAAAACTTGACAGATATATTGCACTAATAATGCTGACACAGTGAAGCAGGACTTTTGTAAAGAGTATGACGCGTTGGTATTTTTAAAAATGCGGCATTAGGTCATACAGATATCTGATTGTATAAAAGATGGGGTTACATTTTCTCCATTGTTATCTTTGTGATTACAGGCAGGGGTTATTCCCCTTCATGTGTATGCATTTTACCTCTTCATCTTGATGAGCGATATTCAGCACAGACACAATGGATCAATCCCAGATGCTTAAAAAATAAAGCATCACCCCACACAATGTCAAAGCTCTACATTGTTTTGTGTCTAAATTGGATAGCCAAGTATGAAAATGGACAGTTCAGAGTGTCAGTAATGGGATAATGGTGACTTTGACATTCAGATGTAAGTAAATCTGTAGTCCAAATCAATTGATATTCCAAGTTAACATGAGTTGACACTTAAGCAGTGGGCATAAACAGATTTTTAAAAATTCATTTTTACCCTTGCAGGAATGTGCTGCATGTCAAAAATGCCAATGTCATATTTAATACTCAGCAGATAATGGGATTTTCATGGGAATTTTATCCTCTTTAGTTTTTAGTATCCTAAGAAGTCAGAAAGGGAAAGTTTTCAGTGTTCATTTGGTACAGGATTTGGCAATCAGAAAGTCATTCAACATTTTAAACTTTCATAAATGTATTAATTATGAAAACTCTTATGCTGCATACTATTCTCATAGTAGTTATAAATATGAGTCTCTCCATAAAGAAATATATTGGTTTATAGATAATGGATGCTGAGGCACCTGGGTGGCTCAGTCGGTTAAGCCTCCGACTTTGGTTCAGGCCATGATCTCACAGTTTGTGAGTTTGAGCCCTGATCAGGCTCTACGCTGACAGCTCAGTGTAGGGAGCCTGCCCTGGATTCTGTGTCTCCCTCTCTCACTCCCCTTCCCCTGCTCATGCTCTGTCTCTCTCTCAAAAATAAATAAACATTAAAAAAACCTGATAGATAAATAAGTAACATAAATGAATGAATCAATCAATCAATAAATAAATAACGGGTGTTAAAACTTTCCTCATTTGCTCTTGGTTTTCTAACGACACATTTCCTTACTAAAATTATATCTAGATTTAAGGCAAAATTTATTTTACTGGATTTCAATGGAAATGGACAGAGGTTAGTAAGAAATACAAGATTTTATAGGGCTTTAAAAATAGCGGAGAACCAATCACTCTACAGATGTGCTCATTCCTTTCTTCTTAGGGTTTTGTTGTTCAAATTAGAGTCTGGGCCAAGGAGAATTTAAGTATGCCTGCAATAACACATTTTATAGAAAAGACAAACCTTATGATATCCTGCTGCATTTCTGTATAGAATATAACTATATAAAATATTTATGACATTATTTCCATAAAATATCGGAAATATCTATTGTGGGATGGAGAAAAAAGTACTCTGACATTTTGGCTAAGATGGCAGAGAGAATTCAGTTTGAAAGTCTTTTTTATTTGTGCAGATTCTTTCTTTTTTTTTTTTTATAGTTAAAGTGATAGCTTTTTTCCAGGAATAGCGCGGTATACCAGTTGTTTAATACATTGTAAAACTTACAATTCCTGGCTATCCAAGCTCTCCATGTTGGTCAATTTATATTTGGTTACTTGTGCTGTTATTATAGGACCAAATTCACTGGGGAAATGAGATAATCTGATCAATCACTCAAGCCAAAGGGACTTCCCCTCCACCCCTTCAAATTATCAAGAAAGTTTAAATAAAATTTTGACCCTAGCTTAAATCACCTAGATATTTATTTTTTGTAGGTAGTTAGTAAAATAATTTTATGCATTTTTCATGTTTTCTGACTATAAAATCAATATGTGCTCATCCAGAAAGCAAAACAAAGTAGAAAACGCAGAAAAGACAAAGAAGAAAACAAGATAATCCTAAATTCTCACTACCCAACCAGTGTCAAAGATGGGTTAAAAGATGATCTGTGTCAAAAGTTTGTTTCTAGTCTTTTTATAACCCTAATATATACTTTATATTACACATTGTTAATTGCCATATGAGATGGTTCATATTGGATTCTACTTTTTTCATTTTTACATCAGAAGGATTTCCCCACTTTGATAGCATTTCCTTAAAAATTACCCTTATTTCTTAAAGAATTATTTTGCAACCTAATGAATTTGTTTGCTACCAATATATCTGGGGATCTGTCACAAATAGTCACCTCCTGGATATTGTTGCTACAAAAAAGAAACAAGTGTTTTAAAGAGTTGATGTGTGTGTCCAGGTATATGTCACGTTTATCTGAACTCCTCTCATACCCTGAATGCCAGGAAACATGAGAGTCCCATGATTTCCTTACCATGTATTTAACTGTTGAAATTTACTGATTGGTTTGTATATACTCCATAGAGCTTAAGAGCAGTGTTTTTTGTTTTTTGGGTTTTTTTTTGTTTGTTTGTTTTTCACAAAGGGAAAAAAGGTATAATCATAAGCAGAGGCAGGAATGAGACTGACTGGAAATGTTGATTACAAGTACCTGGGCAATCTTTCCTGTTGGGCCAAAAGTTTGGATCTAAGCCAGATTGCAGACTGGTAAACCTTGGTCTTAACTGACCCATGGGCATGTTTTATTTAGCACCATTTCTTGAGATTTCAAGTAATGTTTTAAAATGAGGAGGATTAATGTAAAATGTGGATTTCTACAATTCCTGAAGATATGACCAGCCTGACCCTGTGTTCTGGATGGCAGAACTGGGCTGGAGTTAAGGAAGGTTTAGATTGAGTTTGTTTTGGGTTGAACATTGATGGTTCAATTTGATGCCCATCTAATCACCCCAAACTAATCATTAGTTTGGACTAACTGTATTTCCTATGCTCAAGAGCCTCATGTGGCTAGTGGCTCATGTATCAGACAACACAAATATATAGTTTTAATGAATTATCCTCGTATTTAGGGCAAAGAATTTTAGGAACTCAGACCAGGAAGTCTATAAACTCTTGGGGTTGATTGTTGACATAGTTCTCCGGTTGTGAGGAAAATAGAGAAGTATTCTGTGTTTGCATAATGCATTTTGGGCCCTGATCAGAATTCTGACATAAATAACAGACACTTTATTGAGAGATTTGTTTTTGCCAGACCTCAGAGATGTGGTACTACCAGTGCCCATGAGTATACAGAGCATAAGAAAGATTGTAAATCATTGGAGATGGATTAATCTGTGCTTTTCCACCTGCCCTGGGGGGATGGATGAGAAGAATTCACGCAGGAATTGGCTGCTATCTGTGGGTGTCAGCATCAATTGCAAACAAAATAAATAAATATCTAAATATTATCACAGGAGACTCTGAAACTTTTGGCTCTTACAAAGGGGTCTTAATATCCATAAAAGTGGGTCATCACCATCAAATGACTCAAAATCATGTAACTCATTTGTGTTCAAACAGATTTGCGAGTATTTCCACAAGATTTTGGTGAAGACGGTACTTTTCAAGTAAAAGTCCCTTAAGTATTAGCTCTATTAGACTTCTTATAAAACATTTTAGCACATGATGCTTAAAAGAATCTGGGAAGTTATAGTTTTAGTGAATTACTATTTGGACGCATAAGGTGATGTACTGGAGGATGACAGTTGACATTCATTGTCCCAAAACTCCTGTCATTGTCAAGGCAGAGCTTATCGTAAGAGGGATCCTGTTCAGTGACTGCTGTTATGGAATTGATACTTTTCATCACCACTCTGAAAACTTTGATCTGTTATTGCGTTTCCCTTCATGAGATAGAAGGTCAGATCACCAGGCACGAGAAGCTGGCTCTGTGGCGGCCACTATGTTCTGAGCCCATGCTGTTTCCCCCCAGGCTCATAATACCTTCATGCTAGAGAGCTGAGTTTGGTCTTATTTTATAATTCCATTCATTAAATTAATTTAGAATATGTAAACTGATTTATTGTGAGATTTAAAATCCCTTCCCTCAGGAGAGCAGAGAATATTAGGTTAGCAGTTTTTCTGAGC